TCTGCCCCCTGCCCCCCTTGGGCGCTGCTCCCTCGGGGCGCTGAGGGTCCCGTGGCTGGTCTTGGGCTTCCCTGCTCTCTCTGTGTCCGTGCTGGGCCCCTGCCCTGCGCCAGCAGCTCATGGAACCCATGACACTCCTGGCCTCGCCTACCACCCCACCCTGTCAGGAGTCCTCTGCCTGTCCATCTGGGGCCCGGGGGCCTGGGCCACCTTCCTTCCTGCTGCCGGCCTGTCCTTCCCGCCCCAGATGACCGCCAGCACCCACAGTCCCAGCCTAGCTCCAAGGCCTCCCTTCCAGCCCCCCTCTCCTGGGTGGGGACCACAGCCGACCCTCACCCACCACCCAGGGCCCCGCCCATCTGCACACGCTCAACTGCAGGCTCTGACCGTGGCTCTTCCTTCCCCCACTCACCAGGTCCCCAGGAGCACCTACCAGTCACCCAGGGAGCCGCAGGTGCTGGAAATGACCAAGAGTTACAATAAGGAGGAGAAAGAGGAGGAGGAGGAAGTGGAGGAGGAGGAGGAGGAGGAGGAGGAGGGAGAGGAAGGGGAGAGGGAGCCAGAGGAGGAGGAGAGGGAGGAGAGGGAGGAGAGGGAGGAGGGGGAGGAGGGGGCTGGCCTTGCACCTTCCTCCCTAGGGCCATGCACAGGGTGGTGGCCAGTGGGGCTGAGCCGCTCGTTGACCCCCCAGGAGCTGCTGCTGAAGGCGAACCTGGATGAGATGCGCTGTGCGATGCCCTGGGCCCGCGGGGAGCCCCCCCTGCAGGTGACACCCCGCCCCTCAGGGGCATGTTCTCAGGCCTAGGAAAATGGCGCCACTGTGAGGCACTGTGCGTCCTCCCGGTCAGGCCCCGCTCAGGCCGAGGGCCAGGCTCCCAGCGCCAGGCCAGGCGGATGGAGCTCTGTGGGCGGGGAGACGGGTCCGGAGCCACCGGGAGCCTCTGGCCGGTCCCTCTGGGTGTGGCCCGGTGCCCACTCTCGGCATTTACTACTCCCTTAAGGAGAGAGGGACGGGGCAGGACAAGGAGGGCGAGTGGCCCGTGGATGCCGTGGGTGCTGGCCCAGCCCCTGCCGTGCACCCTGGGAACCCCTGCAGTCGGGGCAGGTCGGGGGATGGGCACGCAGCACCCAGCAGGCCCCAAAGGGTATGATCACTGGTTCCCAGGGGCCTTTACCAGCTGCTACCCGCTGTGGCTTGTGGTGCCACCGCACAGGCCCTGGGGCAGTCCTGGCGCCGCTGGGAGGATGAACCTGGGTTGGGGGCCAAGCCCCCTTGACAGAACCGTGGTCCCCGGTCCAGCAGGCCCTGCACCCTCCCTGGTCCTCCCAGGCAGCCCAGTGCCCCACAGGCTTGGGGCGGCCTTACAGGACAGAAGTGCTGCCTCGGGGTTTGGGGGAGCTCGTGTGCAGGGCAGGCCTCCCATAATGTGCGGGGCGGTGGGGGGGGATGTCCTGCAGACTCTGGTGCCAGCCTGCCCACCCCCCCCCCAGGACTCCAAGAAGCTGCGACTGCAGTGCTCGTCCCTGATCCACCAGAGTCCGAAGCTGACCTTCTACAAGGTGAGGGCTGCTCCTGACTGGCCGGTGGGTATGGGGGTCCCTGAGCCCCCACCTCTCGCCTGTTCTGCCCCCTGGGGCTGGAGGGCCAGAGCAGAGGCTGTGAGCACAGCCCTCCTGTCCCCACAGAGGGAAGTACTTGGGTGGGGGCAGAGGTGGGGGCCGAGGGCAGGGCCCTGGCTGCCCCCCAGGCACCCCATCACAGCCCACCCCTCCGCCCGCAGCCCAACGAGGTCCCGGTGAAGCTGAACACGACGGCCATCCTGCGGGAAGAGGCCCTGTACCAGCGGCAGGTGGAGAAGGAGCTGCAGAGGTGGGGGCAGGAGGAGGAGGGCAGGCCGAGGGGGGCCCAGCAGGCTGGTGTCGGGGTCCCAGAGGCACCCTAGGAAGACCATCTCGGCTCCGTGAGGGAGGCGCTCTGGGTGGAGCAGGCTCAGGAGGCAGTTTGGAAGACA